GTCGTGCTTGTTGTTGTTGTTGTTGATGTTGTTGCTGTTGGTGTTGCTGTTGGTGTTGTTGTTGTTGTGCTTGTTGTTGTTGCTGTTGTTGTTGCTGTTGTTGTTGTTGTTAGCGTTGCCGTTGGTGTTGAACTCTCACTTCTGAAGAATAATTGTTGTTGATTCCCCCCCGACCGGTGCATACTGTTTTTCTCAATCAAAGTGTGCCCCTCGACGCTCGCACCCTGTTTTTTGGCAGGGAAAGTCTTGATGCTCAAACTGGGCCCGTGGCCCCCGGGTTACAACAACAACGGTTCCCGCCTAAGACCTCCTTACAATTTAGCCAGGACCCCCGCTCCCGCCCGAGAGTTCCTCGCATTTTGTTCAGGAATCGCGTTATCGCTTGGGACTTCCTTACAATTTACTCAGGAATCGCTTTCCCGGCGCTCTGGAGTCGCGCTCTCGCTGGAGACTTGCTTGCAACTTACTGAAGAATGGCCTTGCGTTGGAATTCCTTGCAATTTGCCCAAGCGCCGCGCTCCCGACACCCAGGCACCCAGGAGTCGCGCCCGTTGTGGCCCCATGTACATGCCCTTCGTGGCCCCGCTGTCGCCATTTGTGTCCCCCTCATTGTCCTACGTGGCCCAGTTGCTACCCTCAGTGGCCCCATCGTTGCCTTCTGTGGCCCCGCATTATCTGCTCTTCGTGGCCCCCGCTCGTTCGCGCTCTTCGTGGCCCCATACGCATTCCCTTCGTGTCCCCGCTGTCGCCCTTCGTGGCCTACTTCGTGTCCTTCGTGGCCCTGCTGTCGTTCTCTCTCGCTCTCGCTTTCGCTCGTCGTCGCCGTCGTCGTCTCCGTCGTCTTCGACGTCGTCGTCGTCGTCGTGGTCGGTCCCCTATCCGTCCCTCTTGGGGTCGGATCGACGGTCCGCGGCCGCCCCACCGATCAGCGAGCGCTGCCGCTGGCCAGGCCGACGGTCCGCGGCCGCCCCGCCGCTTGCCGGGGCCCAGCCTGCAGGGAAGAAAGGTATACCCCCCAAAAGGGGTTCGATCGAAGACGAAGAGGGCGGGTATCGAGGGTTTGGGAAATACGCATGATTGGACACTCGAGCAGATAAGGGCGAACAGTCTTGAAATGATTGTTGTTGTTGTTGTTGTTGCTGTTGTTGCTGTTGTTGTTGTCGTTGTCGTTGTCGTTGCCGTTGGTGTTGAATTCTCATTTCTGAAGAATAATTATTGTTGGTCCCCCCACCGGTGCATAGTGCTTTTTCTCAACCCAAAGTGTGCTACTCGACGCTCGCACATGTTTCTTGGCAGGGAAAGTCTTGATGCTCAAACTGGGCCCGTGGCCCCCGGGCTACAACAGCAACATCAACAACGGCTCCCGCTCTAGACTTCCTCACAATTTAGCCAGGGCGCCCGCTCCCGGCCAAGACTTCCTCGAATCTTACTCAGGAATCGCGCTCTCGCTTGGGACTCCACTACAATTTACTCAGGAATCGCTCCCCCGGCGCTCTGGAGTCGTGCTATCGCTGCAGATTTGCAATTTACTGAAGAATAGCGCCCTTGCGTTGGAATTTCCTGCAATTTGCCCAAGCGCCGCGCTCCCGACACCCAGGCACCCAGGAGTCGCGCCCGTTGTGGCCCCATGTGCATGCCTTTCGTGGCCCCGCTGTCGCCGTTTGTGGCCCCCTCACTGTCCTACGTGCCCAGTTGCTACCCTCAGTGGCCCCATCGTTGCCTTATGTGGCCCCGCATTATCTGCCCTTCGTGGCCCCCGCTCGTTCGCGCTCTTCGTGGCCCCATACGCATTCCCTTCGTGTCCCCGCTGTCGCCCTTCGTGGCCTACTTCGTGCCCTTCGTGGCCCTGCTGTCGTTCTCTCTCGCTCTCGCTTTCGCTCGTCGTCGCCGTCGTCGTCGACGTCGTCGTCGTCGCTGTCATCGTGGTCGGTCCCCTGTCCGTCCCTCTTGGGGTCGGGTCGACGGTCCGCGGCCGCCCCGCCGATCAGCGCTGCCGCTGGCCAGGCCGACGGTCCGCGGCCGCCCCGCCATGCTTGCCGGGGCCCAGCCTGCAGGGAAGAAAGGCATACCCCACAAAAGGGGCCTCGATCGAAGACGAAGAGGGCGGGTATCGAGGGTTTGGGAAATACGCGTTATTGGACACTCGAGCAGATAAGGGCGAACAGTTTTAAACTGATTGTTGTTGTTGCTGTTGCTGCTGTTGTTGTTGTTGTTGTTGCTGTTGTTGTTGCTGTTGCTGCTGCTGTTGCTGTTGCTGTTGCTGTTGATGTTGCTGTTGTTGCTGCTGTTGTTGCGAATGTTAATGTTGATTTTGTTGTTGTTGTTGTTGGACCCTCATTCTTGAAGAACAATTATTGTTGATCCCCCCCACCGGTGCATACTGTTTTGTCTCAATCAAAGTGTGCCCCTCGACGCTGGCACCCTTTTTTTTGACAACGAAAGTCTTCCTGGTCAAACTGGCCCCCTGGGCCCCGGGTTACAACAACAACGGCTCCCGCTTTAGACCTCCTTACAATTTAGCCAGGACCCCCGCTCCCGCCCGAGACTTCCTCGCATCTTATTCAAGAATCGCGCTCTCGCTTGGAACTTCTTTACAAATTATTCAGGAATCGCTTTCCCGGCGCTCTGGAGTCGCGCTCTCGCTGGAGACTTGCTTGCAACTTACTGAAGAATGGCCTTGCGTTGGAATTCCTTGCAATTTGCCCAAGCGCCGCGCTCCCGACACCCAGGCACCCAGCAGTCGCGCCCATTGTGGCCCCATGTGCATGCCCTTCGTGGCCCCGCTGTCGCCATTTGTCCCCCTCATTGCCCTACGTGGCCCAGTTGCTACCCTCAGTGGCCCCATAGTTGCCTTCTGTGGCCCTGCATTATCTGCGCTTCGTGGCTCCCGATCGTTCGCGTTCACACATTCCCTTCGTGTCCCCGCTGTCGCCCTTCGTGGCCTACTTCGTGTCCTTCGTGGCCCTGCTGTCGTTCTCTCTCGCTCTCGCTTTCGCTCGTCGTCGCCGTCGCCGTCGTCGTCGTCGTCGTCGTCGTCGTCGTCGTCGTCGTCGTCGTCGTGGTCGGTCCCCTGTCCGTCCCTCTTGGGGTCGGGTCGACGGTCCGCGGCCGCCCCGCCGATCAGCGCTGCCGCTGGCCAGGCCGACGGTCCGCGGCCGCCCCGCCGCTTGCCGGGGCCCGGCCTGCAGGGAAGAAAGGTATACCCACCAAAAAGGGTTCGATCGAAGACGAAGAGGGCGGGTATCGAGGGTTTGGGAAATACGCGTTAGTGGAAACTCGAGCAGATAAGGGCGAGCAGTCTTAAAAGTATTGTTGTTGCTGCTGTTGTTGCTGTTGTTGTTGTGGTTGTTGTTGCTGCTGTTGTTGTTGCTGTTGTTGTTGCTGTTGTTGTTGGTGTTGTTGTTGGTGTTGTTGTTGGTGTTGGTGTTGGTGTTGTTGCTGTTGCTGGTGTTGTTGTTATTGTTGATGTTGCTGTTGCTGTTGCTGTTGCTGTTGCTGTTGCTGTTGCTGCTGTTGCTGCTGTTGTTGTTGTTGTTGTTGTTGTTGTTGTTGTTGTTGTGTTTGTTGTTTGTTGTTTGTTGTTTGTTGTTTGTTGTTTGTTGTTTGTTGTTTGTTGTCGTCGTCCCACCCGCGACCCATCCGCGACCCACCCCGCGACCCACCCGCGACCCACCCGCGACTCACCCGCGACCCACCCCGCGACCCACCCGCGACCCACCCCGCGACCCACCCGCGACCCATCCGCGACCCACCCGCGACCCAACCCGCGATTCACCCGCGACCCACCCTCAAGGGAGGAAAAACCACCCGGACCCGACAGTTGACGTTTACTAAACGGCCTGACTAAACAGCTCTGTCCTGTTCGATTCATTCTTTGTGTGCGTTTACTAAACGGCTTCGCTTGTCGGGGTGATTATTATGGGGTGGATTTTCTGCCCTCTACACCCGCGACCCACCCGCGACCCAACAGCGACCCACCCGCGACCTACCCACATTGGTTCAACAAAAAATCGGCGCCTGCGGCGGGCTCGTTGTGTAATTTGTGAAACTCTGGCGCCTACGGCGGCCTTCTCCAGAGTCTCGCAAACTGCCGACGTCCCCACCGCCCCCTCGCCTCTTATCCGCATTTTCGGGGTGCTATGTATACGTTTACAGCCGGGGCCCTGAAGAAGGAACCCTTTTCGTTGGGGAGGGGCTCCGCGTTCCTTAATTGTTTCGCAGCTCGCCTCAGCTTTTCCGTAGGTTTTCGATACGAAATCGAAGTTCAATGTATGGAAAAAAGGGGCCTCGTTCCTCATTTTGGGTTCCTTAGGTCAAGGCCCCGACTGTATGTCGCTTCTCTTTCTAGCGTCGGGGTCCGGGAGCGCGGCTGGAGACCGCCGCCCCTCTCGGAGGTCCTCCGCCCGTCCGTCGCGGCCTGCGCCCCCCGACGGGCCCCCACCGCTCCCACTCCGCCCGTGCGGCTCGCCTCGGCGGGCCCCGCGGCCGCGTCGCCGTGGCCAGCACCCCCGAGAACCTCCAGCGTCCATCGACTCTGTGAGAAGTCGGACAGGGGCGACGGCGACGACGACGACGACGATCGTTGCGGCGACGACGACGACGACTACGAGATCGATGATCGAGGATCGGAGGCTGTGACAGTTGGTGGCCCTGTTCTGGGTCACCGCTGGGGGCGCGAGGACAATCGCGCGTCGCGGCTTGGATTGGAGAGGCGCCCTTCTCCAAAGTGGCCTCGCGAGGGAGCGAAGATAGCCACGCGTCGCGGGGCTTGCTGTGCGATGCGCGATGTTAGGCGACCTAGGTCGAGGATTGCGGGTTGGAGGCTTATGATAGTTGGTGATTCTTCTTGAGCTCATGGAGGCCTCGGCGGAGGTCCGGGAGCTTCTGGGGACCTGGAGGCCCTGATTTCTGGCTCGGGGTTTCTCAGCCGAATCCCTGGTATTGGCCGCCTCGTGAGCGGCTCGTGGCGACCGGTCAAACATCGTGGTTCTTCTGTCCAGGCTGTCAGCAGCGGCAATGCCACCGCGGTGCTGGGCACCGAGATCGAGCAGGTTGAGGCGACGGGGTCGGGGGGGAACCCGAGAGGCTCGTGGGGATCGTGCTCGCTTCTTCGGACGGGGCGACGGCTGTGAGGGGCAGGGCGCTATGAGAGTAGCGAGCAGTGCAGCGTACGAAGCTTCTGAACGAATTCAAAAAACCATTCCATCTTTATTGACATGTACAGAACGGCTTGCGAACGAAGTCGAAAGCCGTTCTATATAAATAAATTAATAAATAAATGAATACATAAATAATATGTATACAAGACTGCAGTGGCGCTTCGCGCCATGCACCTTGGTCCTTGAAGATCACTCATCGCTGCCTTTTCTGGCATCGCCGTTATAATAATGTTGTTCGCTATCCCTCCTCCATGCTTTTTTCCCCTCATTCTCGGCATACCCTGGGTGTTCTCCCCATCCTCCTCAGCTCTTTTTGCGGAGGCTCCTCCTTAGAGAGCCTCTGGGGGCCTCACCAAAGTTCTCAGGCTTTTTTAGAGCCTTCTGGAGGCCTCCTGGGCGTGTTCTGGGGGCCTCTGGGGCTTCCTAAGGCCAACCTGCCTCTAACCGCAGTCTCCCTGAACGCCCCAGTCACGATTTGGAATGCTTCGGAGGGCGTCTTGGGGCCATCTTGGGCCGCCATGGGGCTCTCTTAGGGCCATTTTGGATCCCTGTTGTGCAGTTCTGGGGCTCTCTTGGACTGCCTGGAAGCCCTTTCGGATGGTTGCGGGGCGATTTGGGAGCCTCCCAGGCGACTTCGACCGCCCAGAAGGCCGCTGTCTTGTAGCGACGGGAAGCCGAAAAGAGGAGAACCCGAAATTCACCAAAAACCTGCATTAAATCGATGATTATTCCCTCTTGGGGCCTTCTTGGGGGTGCTCTTGGAGGCCTCTTGGTACGTTTTGGAGCGATCTTTCGGGGTATGACGGCTTCTTGGGGCGCTCTTGTGCTGTCTTGGGGTTCTCTGGGACGTCTCCGATGACCCCCCTGATCGCCCTAGGTGTGCTGCGAAGGCTTGGCAAAACGCCCTGCGAAGCCCGGGGGGCCGCTTCGAGGCCCGTCCGAAGGGTCCCAAAGCCCCAGATCCCAGGAGTCCGGTTTTTTTTGGGGGGGGTGACGGGTTTTCCCCCCGCCTGGGCTTGCAAAAATATAGGAAGAGGAATGGTCCCTTGTTCCTTTATATCAAAAGTTGTTTCTGAATTCACTGAAAAGCGGATGGATACATTCAACAACCGTTCGATGTATGTAGAAGAGGCGCGACGGACAGCGTTATCGGAAGGGGGTTCTCCAGTCGACCCAGGTTGCGACAAGAAAAGGGGGCGCAGCGCATAGACTAAGTTCGAGTCTGGTGGTCACTTGTGGGAAGTCTAGTTTCAGACCTGCGCACACCAAAACAAGTCGATGTTACCGCATCGTAGAAGGACTGGATAACCAGAGCGGCATGTGCGCAGCAAGATCCAATAACGTCACACACATGTATGAATAAAAGGTTTTGGAAGACGCTTCCCTCGAAGTTGAGTTGCCTGCCAAGCTACGTCCCAGTGTTCACTGAAATGCCCGGAGCATGGTTTCACAACAGCGTCATGTTATCATGGTCTGAATTCTGCAGGGCATACAGATCAATCCAGTGACTCTGTCTCTTGGCGCCTTCGTGGGCGAAACGTGCTCTTCGACCACAAGGAACTGCCACGACTAGGTCACAGTGGCCTCGACTTGGCTACGAAAGGTGACTGGCTATTCCCGCCCAGCGTCCGGAAGCCGTCGAACATCCAGTGGCGCGAGCCTGTCAGCTCCAAGCCCCGTTCGAGGCTTCATTCGACCCTGCTCTTTTGCCAAGAGACGCCACAGGCGATGGCCCGAAGCGCATCTGTCTGTGCCCCCTCTCTGACTCGCCCGAGGACAGAAACAAAGCCATCCGATCGATAACCTCGGGAGCCCAGAGCCGATGCCAGCGCGGTGCTCATATGACCCACCACGCCGACTGGGTGGCAAAGGGGGGAGGAGGGGGAGGAGGAGGAGGAGGAGGAGGAGGAGGAGGAGGAGGAGGAGGAGGAGGAGGAGTTTTTTGCGCACGCGCCTCCAGCCCACTGCGTTGTCACACGCGGGGCCCTGGGCGCCACATTGGGCGCCCGGGGCTCCCGCGGTGCCCCGCACACACGAGCATCGGGCGAGCACGCTCGAGCCGAACGCGGGAAAACCCGACCCCAAGGGCAAACGGAGGGAGGAGGCCCCGCCCCGTCCTGCACCAGAAACCACCGGCAACGCAGAACGGGCAGCGCCCCCCACCCCCCGCACGCTGGAGGGACCAGGGCAAAAAGGCTTCGGACCCCAGGACCAGAAGAACGACAAGACACGACGGGGGAGACGGACCGCCGGTCCCAGGCGGCGAACGCGGGAGGAATCCCCGCGCCGCCCTGGGGGAGGCCCCAGGACCTGGCAGCCCCCTCGGGGAAGGGGACCCAGCTTTGGGGGCTGTCCCCGGGCTGCGGGGGCTGGACCCCGAAGGCCCGGTGCTCCCCGCTTGCACTAGGGAGCGCATTGGCCTGACACCCCGCTTATGGGGGTGCCCCTCCGAGGTGGAGGAGGAGAAGGAGGAGGAGGAGGAGGAGGAGGAGGAGGGAGGGAGGGAGGGAGGGAGGGAGTGAGGGAGGGAGTGAGGGAGGAGGAGGAGGAGGAGGAGGAGGAGGAGGAGGAGGAGAGGAGGAGGAGGAGGAGAGGAGGAAGGGGAGGAGGGAGGAGATATCGGGAGGACGAGAAAGACGAGGAGGAATCTATTGGCCGAGGTAGATCTCGGTGCGCTCGTCGAGAGACCCACCAGGGAGCTCGGGCAAGCTCCGCCCGAGTCGCGCACAGAGGGTAGCCGCTCTGCTTGCCTGCCCACTGGGGGGGATACAGCAGGCACATCAAACAAATAAGAAATAGGCCCGTCAGACGGTGCCCCAAGGGATTGTCTGATTCCCCGGTGGCCCCATGGAGTCGCACAAACTCTGCGACCTTCAAATATCGACGACGACTACGCCCGAAGATTTCTTATAGCAAGATCTCTTTTTGTTTGTGACTTCTGTAGTTATGTTCTGTCGATGCTCTCTAAAATCTAGCCTTCCTGGCTGCCCCCCATCTGATAATACGGTCATGAGCATTTGTTTTGCGCGTCGCGCCGCCGGTTCTGGCCCAGGACGAGGAGGAGGAGGAGCAGGAGGAAGAGGAGGAGGAAGCAGGAGGAGGAGGAGGAGGGAGGAGGGAGGAGGGAGGAGGAGCAGCGGGAGCAGCAGGAGGGGCCCATGCCAGGTGGAGGTGTCGGAGCCGACCAAGGAGATGGCGACGTCCACGAGCACGACCACCACCACCACGACCAGCACCACGCAAACGCAGACCAACACAACCACGAGCGAGAGCTCCAGCAGCGTGAGCTCACAGACAGTGAGCACAACCAGCGGCAGTTCCAGCACGACGGCCTCTTCCACCACAGGGAGTTCAACCACAGTGAGTACACTCTCGCTTACCACAGCCAGCGAGAGCTCCAGCACGACACTGTCCGCCACCAGTGTAAGTTCAACCACAGTGAGTACAAGCAGCGAGAGTTCCAGCACGACGGTCTCGTCCACTTCTGGCAGTTCAGACACTCATACCAGCAGGCGCGCCGCTCCCTTACGATCCAGACTCTCGGGCCACCGACCCGATCGAGAATCGATAAGGCAGTTGTGATGAAGCATTGCGATGGGAGGGACCTCTCGGAAAGAGATACACTTTCCGTGGCCAACTGACCAATTATTGAAGGTTCGCGTATCCCGCACGGCCCAACCAGAAACAGTGTTTATGAGAGTTGACGAGGAAACAGAGGAAAAGAGACATGTAGAAAGATACGGAGGGCAACAAGGGTGCACTGAGAGATCTCTGGAAACGAGGGAGAGCCCTGAAGGGCCTGTTGGGGTCATCTCTTGTGCCCCGGTGGGGTGCGAGGAGGAGGAGGAGGAGGAGGAGGTCAGGGTATCTGGCACGTTCCATCAGATAACGTTCAAATGTGAATTCTACATCGCATAAGGTCGCATCCGGGCCACTGCAACACCTGTGCAGCACATACGGCCCACCCTGAGGATGAGCAGAGCTCAAACACTTTGGATGTAAATTTCTCGGTGGGCCCATGTTGTGCGCGTTTTCAGGGATCTTGAACAGCGTAGATTACCCGGTATGGAGCGCATCATGTTGAAGTGATTGGAATTGTCTTGTTGCTCCAGAGCGCGCCACAGAAAATGGTCCTGTTGCGAGTTGCCGGAAAGTGTTTAGAGAGACCATTGTTTGTTGGCTGGACCTTGCATGGAGGTCGGGGTGTTTGGCGCAATTCATGGAAGGTCGATTGGCAGTGGTGTGTTGGTGGTTGTGGTGGTGATTCTATTGGTGCGGAAACACCGTGGCAACACACTATTGCATTATGTTGCGCTGCATCGTGGTGGCAGCTCTTAATGGCGAAGGCTTGGCTTTGGTTTGTGCCACCTCTTGAAGTCCGCTATTGTTTGTTTGAGCCCTACTGGTCTCTGTCGCGGCGCAACGCTCCAAACTCTACATGACACATGGCAACACAAAGAAAAGTATGCTGGCGAAGGTCCCAACCATATGCAGTTGTGGGTACCGTAATTGTGAATTTTTGCTTCGGTGAAGCTCCCTCTGGGACCACGAAGCGCTGCACTGGGCGGGGGAGAACGCTGTACTGTGAGTGGTGTGCCGAATTGGGTTTCCGAGACGCATGCGGACGGTCCCATTGAGAGCTTCGGTGGAGCTCCCTATGGGGCTACGAAGCGCTCTACTGAGCGAGAGAAAATGCCAAATTGAGCTACCGGGACGCATGCGGACGGTCCCACTGGGGGCTTCGGTGGAGCCCCCAATGGGGCCACGAAACGTTGAACTGCGCGGGTGAAAATGCCAAATTACATTTCCCGGACGCATACGAACGGTGGCACTGGGGCCTTGGGTGGAGCCCCCTATGGGGCCACGAAACGCTGCACTGGGTGCGTGAAAATGCCAAATTGGGCTTCCGGGACGCATGCGGACGGGGGCACTGGAGCCTTGGGTGGGGCTCCCTATAGGGCCACGAAACGCTGTACTGGGTGCGTGAAACGCAGGGAGGAGGGGGAGGAGGGCCATGAAACGCTGTACTGGGTGTACGGGACGCATGCGGACGGTAGCACTGGGACTTTCGGTGGGGCTCCCTATGGGGCCACGAAACGCTGTACTGGGTGTGCGGGGCGCATGCGGACGGTAGCACTGGAACCTTCGGTGGGGCTCCCTATGTGTCCACGAAACGCTGTACTGGGTGGGTGAAACGCAGGGAGGAGGGGGAGGAGGGCCACGAAACGCTGTACCGGCTGTGCGGGACGCATGCGGACAGTAGCAGTGGGACCTTCGGTGGAGCTCCCTATGGGCCCACGAAACGCTGTACTGGGTGTGCGCGACGCATGCGGACGGTAGCACCGGGACCTTCGGTGGGGCTCCCTATGGGGCCACGAAACGCTGTACTGGGCGTGCGGGACGCATGCGGACGGTAGCAGTGGGACCTTCGGTGGGGCTCCCAATGGGGCCACGAAACGCTGTACTGGGTGGGTGAAACGCATGGAGGAGGGGGAGGAGGGCCACGAAACGCTGTACTGGGTGTGCGGGACGCATGCGGACGGTAGCACTGGGACCTTCGGTGGAGCTCCCTATGGGCCCACGAAACGCTGTACTGGGTGTGCGCGACGCATGCGAACGGTAGCACTGGGACCTTCGGTGGGGCTCCCAATGGGGCCACGAAACGCTGTACTGGCTGTGCGGGACGCATGCGGACGGTAGCGCTGGGACCTTCGGTGGGGCTCCCAATGGGGCCACGAAACGCTGTACTGGGTGGGTGAAACGCATGGAGGAGGGGGAGGAGGGCCACGAAACGTTGTACTGGGTGTGCGGGACGCATGCGGACGGTAGGAAGGAGGGGGAGGAGGAGGAGGAGGAGAGAAGGAGAGCGCGGGGACCGTCTCTTCAAAAGGATGACCCAACACAACAGGATGGTTGGGAACAAACATTCTGGGGCTCGGGTCCTCGTATTAAATAGAGCACTGTTGTTCATGCTGCTTCTCTTACCTGCTCCCGCCTCCTCCTGCCTCCTACCTTTTGCTTGCTTCTTCCACTATACCTGCTTCCCTGGGCGTTGCCACTTGCACCACTGTCTCCGATTTCGCGGGTTCCTGGAAGGTCCTGCAGAGACCCAAATGAGACCTAGCCCTCCTTTTTTCTTGCCAAATGCGCAACTGCCGCCGGCTTCGTGAACTCTTGGGAGGTCTTGCGGAGTGCGGTCCAGCGCAGAGCCAAGCGAGACTTCACCCTCCATTGGTGCTTCCAGGTGCGACAGTGGCACCGCTATCGTGAGCTCCTGGGAGATCCAGCGGAGCGCGGCCTTTCGCAGACCAAGTTGAGACCAAGCCTCCCTGGGCGATGCCAAGTTGAGTGCGCAATCGTCGCCACTCCTCGGGAGCCCTACATCGCCACCGTGAGGTCATCGCCGACGCTGGCTACAGGGACGCCGACGACATGGAAGGGCCGTGGCTGAATGTGTGAGCAAAGTTCCCCAGGGCCATCACGCCAGACCACTGGATTGTGATCCGTGGCTTGGGGCTGGAGCTCCTCTCCCGGGGGCCCCCCGCGGACCTCTGGCGGTGCGCCTGCGGACCTTCGTGTCGGCCGCACGGACGCGTGCAGGCACGAGCCCGACAGATTGGCGGGCCGGCTCGGTCTGGCGAGGGCTCGCGCACGACCGGGCGAAAGAGCTGCCAGCTCGGGTGCCAGCGCACTCGCGTGTGTTCTCCACGCGTCCCACGCCAGCGCGGGGGCCCGCATGGGGCGGCGCATGCTGACACGACGGTACTGGCTGTAGTTATACACCCGGGGTCGCTGCCGCGCGGGGAATGTGGCAAGACCGCCTTCGTCGCCACCGATCGCGCGTCATGTCGTCTTCTGTATCCTCCGTAGCATCATGGTCGTCAATGCCCATGATACCACGCCCTTCCTGTATTCAAGATGCCTATACCGTTCCGCCGATCCCAAAAGAGAAGGGGTGTGGCTTCCGATTTCGTATATGCTGTTTGCCACTTCCCGTCGCGTTTCCTTCGCGCTGGTGCTGCTGGGTCGCTCCCTTCTTCCTCCGCGTCTGTTGCACGACTTCTTGGGAGCATGTTGGACGCCTAGGGGGCGGCAACTGCGAACTTTCTGAGGGATCTTGATGGTTTGGGGGTCCCCTTTGGGGGCTCTTCGGGGAGCCTCGTGCGGGCCTCTTTGGAGCAAGTTGGGGGTATTGGAGGCCATCTCGTCGGAGGAGGGGGGTCCAGGCTTCCTGCGACTTCCCCTCGGCGTCTCTTGGGTCCCTGTCGAGGGCCTTTTTGGACGTTTGGACCTTCTTTGGGCCGTCTCCAGGCCTTCTTGGGCCGTCACAGGCCGGTTTGAGGGGCCTATCGAGCCGTCTCTGGTTTGCAGAAGCCCGACAAGGCGAAAACGCAAAAATTATTCAAAATGTCTGGATCAATGATTCGTTCCTCTTGACACCCTATCGGGGGTGATCTTAGGGCCCTCTCGGAGTGTCGTTGGGGCGTCTTGGGGCATCGTGGAACCGTTTTGAGTGTTATTGAAGCCTCTCTGGCGCGTTGGAGCCGTCTCCGGAGCCATCTGGGAAGGCGTTGGGCACTTCGGCGGCCACGGAGGGTGGATTTGGAGGTCCGGGGGGGCCTGGAGGTATAGGAGGGGTGGTGGTGCATCTTAGGGTGACCTTTGCTTATTTAGCCAACGGGCCAAGAATTGCGAATCGTTTGCTTGCAATTGGCATTTCAAGGAGGTGGGCCCTTACGGCGAACGGCGCCCAGGAATCAAAGAAATGCTCTCTTCGGGCTGAGGTCCTGGGGGTGGGTGAGTCCCTGGAGCGAGCGGCGGCACGCAGGAATCAAGGAACGCCATCTCCGTGCCAAGAGCCACGAGGGCTGGTGGGTCCCTGTGGCGAGCTTCGTTCAGGAGTCAAGAGACGCTATCGTGGCCCCCCCCCTCCATCTTACTGGATTTGGGACCCCGGTGGAAGGGAAGAAGGGGAGGGGGACAGCCACAACGTCTCATACGCCTTGTCACCCCTGGCAAGCGGGAGTCGGCGGACTCACGCCTTGTATGGTTGTCCACGTCGTTGTCGTATTTCCGCATTCCTTTCAAATCCCTCTCCTCCGGCATGGCTTCATACACGTCCCACAGGGTGTGCAATGCGTACGACGTAAATTCTCAATCGAACGGAACAGCACTTTTGTTTTTATTGTTGTCGCAAAACGTGTTGGAAGAGTCCCGTGACATAGCCACACGTTGTAGATGGGTTGCGCGCGCCCCTGTGTAGCTTCAGATGTCCCCGTATGGAAGATACATGTATCAGAAAATGACGGTTTGGTTGTGTGGGACTTGATTGCGTGGCTGGGTGTTTGGCGCAATTTGTGGAAGGGGGAATCCGTTCGGGATATTACGTTGTTGGTGCGCGTAGCAGCGTGTGGCGCACCCCGTGGAAGGAAAACGGATTGGGGGCATCGCCATCGGGTAGGTGCCGATGTGTTTACCGCAGCTTGCGGCGCATCCCGCGCAAGCTATACGCCTTTGGGAAAAAACAGCGTCGTGGTGTGGAGTAATATGTTCCTCAATGTGTATTGCAACGGAGGGCCAATACCAGGGGCTCTTGGCGGGGCGAAGTGGTATGACGGTGCATGCGGCATGCGTCCTTGCAGGGATATGATGACCTAATGTATAGTTGTTTTGGCCAGTTGTTGGAATTCATGTTTGCTTCGGTGTGTAGATCTTAAGTTCGAACCATTGCACGATCCGGTTACGAATTCAGGCCCCATCATGAAGCAAGCCCCACCATGAAGCACATTTTGTCGACATAGTGCCCGGGCAGCGACACACAGGCCAACCAGAGCCTTGGAGCCACAAGTGCGAAGCTCGTTATGCTCCGACTGTCTACAGCAGTGTTTGCCCACTTGGGGTCGCCACGGCATGCGAAACAGCACATCGCTTCGCATTGTTACGTGAGGAATACACATCATGGTCTTCTGAGTGGTTCAGGATATCACATTTGGGATGATTCAGCTCTCGTGCGTGTCCGGTTGTTCCCTTGAGGGCGTTTTGTTGCTGGGCCAGCAAAGGTGAAGAATATTGGAGGCGAGCGCAAACTTAATGAGCAATTTCCAGCACTGCCTCCATGCTGAGCGTCCGCGGCCCTCACCCCATTGCCCGCCAGCGCGACAGCGACTGCCACTTACACTTCAGAGACGGCGACCTCCTCTTCCATAACTACTTCTGCTTCGAGGCGGCCGCTGTTTTCGGATGGATCGCAGCAGAGAGGCTCCAGTGAAAGTAAGCCCGTCCTCGTCATGGGACCCTCTCACTTCCCCACCCCCTCTCTCACCTGTCCCCCTCCCCCTCTCTGCTCATCTTCCTGACTTTGCTTTTTGCTGGCATAAGAAAGCTTGGGAAGGGCCGACCAGCGTCGGGCAGCGCCGGTTCAAGCAGGCCCCACGTTTGTGCGCAGGTCCTGCGATGTCTTTAATAGTACTGACCCTTTTTTCCTGCACTATTTGCAGGTTAATCCTCCTCGCTCCTGTTCTAGCCTGCATCGGAGGTCGTGACGCTCCAACCAGCCTTGGGCAAATCACCCCCACCCCCTTCACTGGCAAGTGTTGTGTATCGACTCTTCCCCCTTCCCCTTCCCCCTGGTTTCCTCTCCCCTCCACCATGGCATGTCCTTATAGATCATTCCTCCTTGTAGCCCCCCCTGGCCAGTCGGAAGGGCGGGCCGGGCGTTTCGCTTGAGATTTCTTGACCACCCACGATTCTGAAGCTCAAAAATTGAGAACAGTTTCACGGATGGAGGGCGGGCGGTTTTCGTCGTAAACATTTGTTTCAAGAGCGGCACGGATTGAGGGCGGGCGGTTTTCAAAATGTGGTTCTCGCTTCAGCGCCGCGCACATTATTTTAAACAGTTTCAAGAGCTTCACGAATTGAGGGCGGCTTGTTTTCAAAATGTGGTTCTCGCATTAGCGCCGCGCACATACGTTTCAAGTTGTTGCAAGAGCTTCACGGATGGAGGGCGGCTTCTTTTCGAAATGTTGTTCTCGCTTCGGCGCCGCGCGCATTCGTCTTAAGAAATTACAAGGGTTTTACGGATTGCCATGGTTAGCATGCCAGGAAGGTGTTTGGGAGCGATCCAGGATCGCCAGGGAGCAGCAGTTACGTTGATTGGCGGTGTTGAAGTTCCATGGATGGCGTTCTGGTGCGGCTCCGGATCGTTAAGACGCAACAGTCAAGTTGATTCGTTGTTGAAGTTCCGAGAATGGTACTTTGGCTCTCTTCAGGATCTTCAAATGGTTGTTATTCAACGGGGCACCTACCTCAGTGGAACTTAACCCTTGTTGGGTCCTATGAAGAGGGAGCTTGGAAGGAGGGTGTATTCCAACATCGTTGGTGAGTCTTGGGTTTACATTGGTCCTCCTTCTCCTCCTGGTCATCACCTTCCTCTCTTTTTTCGCAATCCGTGGGGACGAGACCCGTAGCGTTGGAAACGGCAGAGCCGCCTTGGATCAGGAGACGCCCGAAGTGATTTGGAGCAGTCGGGTTGGCAGCGCGTCAGAACAGGAAGAGGCTCGCGGTGCGTGTTGATGTCGTGTGACGGTCAGCACTCTGGCTGGGCCATTGGCGGTCCCGTGTGTGAATTGGGCAGGACAGCGGTTCTTGGGTGGGGCTGGGGGAGAGAGAGAAAGTTAGAGAGAGAGAGAGAGACAGTGTGTGTGGGCGCGGCACAAGTCAGGCCTTCTGGGCGGGTGTAGCTCAGCGTGTCATTGGCCCAAGGTGGCGCCAGGACCTCCAGACTTCACGGAGGCCCCCATGGGCTCCAGGGGACCCTTTTTGCGGGGCCCAGATGGCCCCAGATGTTTCCCGACTAGCGCGAAAAGCTGGGGGGCACCTTGGCCCAAGGAGCACCTTGTGGCAACCCCCGACGTGGGGTGGCTCGCTTGCGCTGGCCTGCTGCCCGAAGCAGGCTGCAGCAAACACTGAGCTGCCCAGCCAACGGTCCGCCGGCGTCCCTGGGCTTGCGCGGTCGCCCCTCCTGTCAGGGTTCATTTCGAGCCGATCAACCCCAGTCGACACCGATTCTGGCTGGCCCGATCCCATTCGATTCCGATATTCCGGCGCCCATGCGGCCCGATGCTTGCACAGCGTTGTTGCGCATCTTGGCGCGGCCGATCCGATTCGATGTTGATCCCGTGCCGATGCAGCCCGAAACGAGACGCATGTTCGGTTCGATCCGATTTCTCGATCGATTCGCTGCTGACTGATCCTGCCTGTCGTGCCCGGAGAGCGCACGCTGGGCACAGCCGGAGAGGCACCAGGCTGTGGGCTACAACGTCTTCGGGGACATCGCGTGCAGCCGCGGCAGCGGACAGGCAAGAGAGAGAGAGAGAAAGAAAGAGAATAAGAAAGAAAGAAAGCGAGAGAGGGAGGATGAGGAGGAGGAGGAGGACGACGAGGACGAGGAGGAGGGGGAGGAGGAGGAGCAGGGGGAGGAGGAGGGGGAGGGGGAGGAGAGGAGGAGGAGGAGGAGGAGGAGAGGAGGATGGAGGAGGAGGGGAGGAGGAGGAGGAGGAGGAAAGAAGGAGGAGGAGGAGGAGTAGGAGAAGAGGAGGACGACGAGGATGAGGAGGAGGAGGAGGAGGAAGGGGAGGAGGAGGACGGCAGGAGGAAGGAGGAGAAAGGAGGTAAGGAGGAGGAAGGAAGAGGAGGAGGGCGAGGAGGAGGAGGAGGAGGAGGAGGACGAGGAGGAAGAGAGAGAGCGAGAGCGAGCCCGTGGGGCCTGCCCAGAGGGTTCTGTGCAGCCTCGATGGGCCTCGCCCGTGCCTCGCGGGGGGCCCCTCGGGGTGCGGGGCGTGGCCCGGCCGTGCCCCGAGGAGCTCCGCGCGGCCGCCGCGCGGCCAGCGAGGGCGGCGCAAGGGGGGGGGCGAGGAGCGGCACGGCCCCCAAGGGGGGAGGGCCCGAGGAGGAGGAGGAGGACGAGGAGGACGACGAGGAGGAGGAGGAGG